ATATATATATTTATATATATATAATTGTGAGAATAAGGTGGCAAATAGGTTGTCTTCTCTAAAGTGACGAGTCCATTATTCAAATCCTAACATGCAAGTGACATTCATCTGAGATTATAATTCACTTCTGTTTTAGGACCGACCAATATTGGATGAGAGATTTTGGGAATTTAAGTATAAATAAATAAATCTACGCATAAATAATTCTTTTGGAGTAGTTGCTTTATTTCTTTTTTTGCACTTCTATATTTAGTGAATTGGATTTATTGTAGCTCATCAATGTACATATAATAAATAAACTAACATCATATATTTAATATATACCAAACATTCGATGAACTTGAGGACCGAATCAATACTTTAGTATTATATTTGAAACTTAAAAGCGACCAATTCTCCACATAATTGAAATATTGTTTCAATATTACAAAGTATGATGCTCTTACATAAATGACCAATATCACCATTGCATTTGATGGTAATATACTGCTTTCTACAATGCCAAATTGAAGGGCAGAAGAACAATCTAAGGGATCAACTCCTATCATTTTACAAATGTTACTTTTCTTTCTTCATACTAATACAAAAAATATGCGCCCCAAGTGAGCATCCATATGATCTAATAAAAATAGAGGTCAAAAGAAAATGTTAACAAATATTATGAAACCTACCCTGCCTTTTTGCTAACACAATCAATACAGTATGGATGCCCACATAAAATAAGAACAAAGGGAGGGGCGAGGGTGAGAGTGGGTGGATTTACAACATGATGTTGAATCAGAGAACATATTTTGAACCTTAAAAGCTAAGCTGCATCACAAGAGGACTAACAATAATCGTGTAAAAATTGGAAGTTTGCATTCTCAAGAAGTTCTGCAGGAGGTTTTATTTTTGGAACGGTCTTATCATGTGCAGAACTAGGAATCTCCTCAACGATAATAGGAAGACTGCAGTTTGAAAATAGTGTTAGTTTTGGAATAAATAAAATCAAATTACTTGTATTTGAATGTATTATGTATATATGTGTGCATCACATGGGTGGAGTTTACCTTGAGTTGTCCTCCAACAAGAAAGATTTGTCATCTTCTTCTACATCATCTGTCATTAGAAGCTTCAATCTAGTAGTGACCTACACAAGTATATAGCAAAAATTACAATAAATAATATTAACATAACAAATTAATTCCTGTCTTGCTGAGAAGAAAAAGTGTTGATAGATAGATAGATGAAACTTACATCTGGTGATATTTTTTGTTTTTCGTCATCATCGTCACAGTAAAGTGTACATATTTTATGAAGCTGTTGAGCACTCAGGACCTACGTTCGGCATACATAGATATTAGGGTGACAAGAACATTGAACCCATTTGTCATATATAACATAGATAATAAATTATACGTTTAAATACTTTTTAGTTCCAATAAATATGATGATTTTTTATTTTAGTCTTCAATTTTTTTTGTTGACTTTAGTCCTCAATTTTTTTAATGATTCCCATTTTCATTTATTGATATTGTGGAATGCATCTAGACGTGTCACATAGGTGACCTCTTTGAGATGGCTTGTGATTAACATGTCTTAATGCGTGCCATGTCATTAATAAACGGTGATATATACCATTTTTAAAACTTGTTAAATTTGTAAGAACCAAAACTAATGAATTTTTGAAAGATTAAAACCAAAATTTGTCATATTTGTGGGAACTAAGAAACACATTAAACCTACATTATTTATATTTGATAGAATTCAATATGTCCTTATGCATATAGCTGATCCCACCTAGTGGAATAAGGCATGGGGGTTGTTGGTGTTATAAGTATACTATAATAAGCCGAAGTCCACCTCTTAATCAGTAATGCAAAGTGTTGTTAGAAAGGCAAGTTTACTTCTACACACAAGACAGAAAAAGAGAAAATCTGCCCATGTTTTGCTCATATAGAGAGGATTTAGACAAAGTTTGCAGATCTCTATTAGCTTTGTAATATGTTAATGTTTGGCTGTTGAGGGTTTGCTGTTCATATTTATTTTACAAGTATGTACATGTATTCATAGCTTTAGGTTAAACCTGTTATCAATCACTCAATAGACAAAAACACTTACAGGGCAGAGGTCATTTGTAAGATCGTCATAGGATAGCCCATCCTTCTGTGGTGCAACCTGGAGAAATGATTTTATCCAAAATTAAAATGAGGGAGAGAATTGGGTGCTTGAGGATTTAGGAAACTTCTCGGGCAGTATTCAAAACTAATGGTATATTACTCATGTATTCTTATAGTAATGATATAAAGGCCAAGTAAGGCTGTGTCCCTTCACATGGCATCTTACTAATCTCTCAATGGGAAAGAAAAAAGTCTCAATCAATTGGATTAATTTTATCCAACGAGAGACCCCCAAAATAAAAGATTACTTAAAGTATCACTGACACTGAGGATACCTGAAGTTTATTTATAAAGCAAAAGTTTTTACAGCAAAAGTAATAGGCATACCAAGAATCTAACTGCTTGATTTGCATGTTTGAGTTCATCCAAAGCTGAGCCAATACTCTGCAACATAAATAGTTTTTAGCTAAAACAATTAAATCACTATTCACACAAAGCATGTCAATTAAATATGCCCATGAAAGTTATAAAAGGGAAAACAGTGTACCTCTTCCGTTGCTTCATTGCACCAAACCTCTAATTCACCCAACCCTGATTTTAAATATTCTCCATTTTTGAATGTGCAGCATTCTCGATGTAAAAGAAGGCTGAATAACATAGCATTCCCAATTCACAAGTCAACCCAGGTGCCTATAATTAGTCCATTATTGTAAAAGGGGCTGAATGAAACAAGACATCTTACCTATTAAAGATTTCAGCATTGATGTACTGAAAAACTTGATTAAATAGCTTCTGAACTAGAACAGGAGGCACCTGAGACAAAACTAAAATCAGTTTGCTCTATAGCAGAATAATGGACTTGAAATGCAAGGGGTGTAAAGATACCAATTCACTGTACTATCAAACTTTCACATACATAGTTATCTTTCAAAATCTTGAGATATTTATTAAGGCATTCGATAATGCTGACCCAGGAACCAGTTTGTTGGCTGTTGTCATCTGATGATCTGTCTGCCTGAAATCATATTATCATATATGTAAGTGGAACAAGCATAATGAAGTTGACAGTCAACCAGATATAGATTGAGCTCTGCTACAGGCATGCAGGAGACATCTTCAAGCCAAAACATGAACCAACAGTTTCATTTTATTTTTCAGAGAAAAGGAGAGAAAAAAAGTGACATCTCTTCTCTCTCCACAGAAATAACAATCTATAATCTAAAACAAAGTGTTCAAATGATGCATGCCTTTACATGAGTGAACAAGATAACAACCAATACACAAGGCATCAGGAGAAAACAGAAGAGTAGAAGAATGACATCCAGTGAGAGAGAGGGAAAAGAGTTAATTCTTTTTTTAAGATATAGATATAAAGTCAATGTCAATAGGAAGTTACTTTGAATTTTCTTGGAATCAAGACAAAGTTATTGAAGATTTACACCAGATTAGAGCATAAATTAAGTACAACTGAGAGAAACTACCACCACTCCACCTATGATACTGATCCTAATGGTGTATAATTTCCTGCACATTGACATCACACACATATACATACAAAGGCATATTCTGTGACAAAATATACAGCCTCCATACCTGAATGCAAGAAGAAAGCATCGGTGACAAGTCTTTCTTAAAATTTTCTCGAACGATTCCATATATCTTCTCCACATATGCTGCAAGCTGTTGCTTGAAAAGCAAAGCTGGATACTTGGCATCAACCTGATGCACTACATCAAAGGCACTGCTGGAAAGACTATTAGATGAGCGGAAACCCTGAGAAACAACATCAAATTCCATAGAGTGAGTTTAATGGCATTATCTCTATAATAACTAGTCCCAATATTTATTAAGGATAACATTATTAAGTAAAATACCATTATTTATATGTCTCTATTTAAAATGAAAAGAATGAATGCGTGTTTAATGCTACTATGGGACAAGTTTAATTAACATAAAAATCAGACCATAAAAATGAATCAATCTTTTTTAATCAACAAAAGTTGTTAGCCTAGAACAAGGTGTATAATAGAAATATAATTGAAATTTTATTGATTTTGGATATCAATTCATACATACTTTCCCCTTTTATTTTCTATGGCCTTTATTGATAACAAATTTAGACACTAACGTGCTATAAAGTAAACTGTATTCATATAGCATTTTATGGACAATAAGGAGACAAACACATCGTACTGACAGTCTTCAAACATTGGTCATGCATTTTGGAAGCATTACGCAGTCTAATTAATTTCATAGCGGAGTATAATTAATAGCATTAGCATCTAAGCAATCATATCTTTGCAGATAAAATATTGATGTGCAGTATGAGGTAGAAGTTACATGGATTTTACGCACAACACATGCTAACTTGGATAGCTATAAAGAAACTTGATACCTGGGTCATCCTCCCAAAAAACGATGTTGGAGTGGGTGGTTTCCGTGCTGTTGGTACTCTTAGACATCGCTGAAGATGGAAAAACAAAGAAGCTGTGTTGGATAGCCAGTAAGCCATACAATCATTGTTGTTCGGATCCTGCATAATGTTAAGTGGAATGCTATGTGAGATCACAATAAATAACCAGGTATCACCCTTATCTAAACACTAAGCACACAAAAATGTCACTATTTCTTAATTTGTTTTTTGTTTACATTTTTTGGTTGATGTGTTTTCAGTTATGATTATAAAAACTCTACATTTGTTGTGCATAGGTGTGCATGACTCATATTCATAATGGATAGAGAGATGTTGGAGTAGGGCAGATTGGGTTTGGACTGCGTATTTGTTGGGTAACAAATTAATTGGGTTAGGGTGGAGAGCTATGCCCTCATAATTTATATATATACTTGATGTGACCTTATTTTTAATAATATAATAGAAAACACTAGCTTTGCTACCGAGGAGGTAGGCACGTTGTCAAACTTGGTTAAATCGTTGTTTGTGTGTAGAATTTTATTCTCTTGTTTTAGAATCCGGTTGACTGCTAACAACATTGTTTTCACAATTTTTTTTACTGTTTTAAAGAGTTTGCAAAGTAAATGATGAAAAGATTTTGTTAATTTTACCTTTTTTTTTGGCAATTTATTACATATTTTCTAATATAAAGAATAATAACTTCACTAGCCTGAACTGATTTGGTTAGACGACAACTTCAATTGCTTGAATTACAGGTATTTACCCATATTCGAAAAGACCAAAGACACCTTAAATATTTTTGTGCATCTAACCTTGTTGATTGCCAATTGCCTAGAGAAAAGGAAAAAAGATCCTATGCCAAGTATCCCATGATACCATATCTCATTTGTGTCTATTAAACACCTTTTTTGCAACATCAGAGCTTTATTTCACCTATTGATTCTATTGGAATCCTTACACCAATACAAGAAGCCTTAGAGGATGAGAATTGGATTTGAACTATGAATGAAGAAGAAATGAGTCCATTGAAAAGGAATGATATTTGGGAGATTGTAGAGAGACTAAAAGACAAGAAGGCACTAAGTGGATATACACATTAATGTGATCATACTCTTCATATAACATTCTTGGGAAGGCAAACTTCAATTTAGGTTGAAGGAGTCAAGGCGATGATGAGCTTGAAAAATGGACTTTAAGGGGTGTTTGGTTGGGGTATTCTTTTATGTTTGGTATGAGAATTTTAAAAATATTTCGATGAATCTAACTTTCCCAATAATTGTTTTTTAATTAAATTTCCCACTAGAACTTTCCCATGGGAGGGGTGGGAATATAAGATTTCCATGAGATAGTTTTTTATTTTTTATTTATTTATATATATATATATAATTATGTTTCTTATTCACGGGTATATTTTAGGCATACCAAACATATTTTGACATTCCCAACAAACATGTTGCCTAGGAAATATAATTCCCAGGAAACTTGACAATAAAAGTTTCTGCATAATAAATGCCCCTAAGGAAAAAGTTAGCTGCCCATTTTGAGATGGACTCCAAGAATTTGAACCTTGGGATAGAAATTAGCTATTCTAAGCAAGGTATCTTTGTTTCTCAAAAGGAAATATATGTTAGATCTCCTTTAAGAGACAGTAAGTTTGTCTTGTAAGACTTTTGGAGTACCCATAGAGCAAAATCACAACATTGGGATTTGGGAATGATTGGGAAAACCCCAGTGTAAAGAAGACTTATTATCAAAGACTTGTGACACTATAGGGCAGATATATCTTATGCAATTAGTATGGTTAGTAGTTCATGCATAATTCAGAGGAAAGACACTTACCAACAAAAACAAAATTATTCAATATTTAAAGGGCACTCCAAGAAGGGGACTTCTATTCATAAAGAAGGACTTATACACGTTTTTAGGTGAAAATTTGAGGACATGAAGAAGTAAAAAGCAAAGTGTATTAGTTGCATGATCAAATGCAGTGTCGAAATTTAGTCACAACTTAAAGGGTTTGTGAGTTGTTATATGGATGAAGATTGTTCCCAATTACCCGAGAATAAAGTATGATTATCCTATGAGACTATTTTGTGATAATAAGGTTGTCATCGACATTGCATTTGCATACAACCTGGTTCAGCATAAAAGGACAAAGAATAAAGAGATAGATTGACACTTTGTTAAAGAGATATTAGACAAAGTGGACTCAGGATCTTACTTGCAAGATGGGAATGGTTGATATCCATTCACTGGCTTGAGGGGGAGTGTGGTAGAGTATGGTTATTGCTATCAATGGTTTATTTCCGTCATTAATAATGTAGTACAGATTCTTAGACTCTTGAAGTTGTCCAAAATTTTAATCTCTTGAAATCCCTGAATTAAATGTAGTGGTAATCATCCTTTGCAATCAACTGATAAGAAATAAAAATTCATCGACTTCCTTTCAAATCTATTAAGTTTTCAAGTCCGTCTAAACAAATTTACTAAATTATGCCCCGGGCATCAAAGGTCTTCTATCTATGAAGCTTTGGAGTAACAATCAAGTTGTAATCCTTGTGCTATGAAATCGGTACTCCGGTTATTTATTTAAAAAACAAATTTGTGCATTTTTTTGTCCTAATAATTATAAGTAAATAGAGTCACTTTAAGATATATTAATTGTTAATTTTCTTTTCTTAATTTATCGTAAAATTTATGAATGAGATATTCAATCATTCCCCATGCAAGCACATGCATTCATTGGCTTGATAATATAAGTCACGCTCATTGGTGATAAAATTTTTACCCCTTGAATTTTGTGCAATGTCATTAAATAAACCATTACTCAAAGGCTAAATTATACATTTGGTTCTTTATCTTTCTTTTAAGATTCATTTTAATCCTTTATCTTTCAAAAATATAATTTTAGTCCTTTATCTTTTAAATTTATTCAATTTGAGATATAATTTTGAATTCTTTTTTAATTGACTCAAGACATAAAACTTGTTTCATTAGATTTATTTACTTAAAAATTATTAAAATCAACTGATGTTCGAATAAAAAAAATCATAAACATGATGTAAATTGTGTTAAAATGAGTACAACAAGCAACCAATTTTTTTTAAAAAATCTAATATCATATTTTTACTAGTTGCTCATGGAATTTATTTTCACATGTTTTTTAACTACATTTATAGCTCTTTCTTATTCCAACAATAATAGGTTTCAAAGTTTTCATGTAGGTGAATCTAATGGAAATTTTTTTATCTTGAATTAGTCAAATAATGATTCAAAATCAGGTTCCAAAATTAAAAACACCACAATTTGAAAAGACCAAAATGACTCTAATTTAAAAAATAAAGGACCAAAATAAATATTTTGAAAGATAAAAGACTAAAATAAATCTTAAAACTAAGATAAAAGTTTAAAAGTATAATTTAACCTTACTTAAATTATTTAATTCTATTTATATTTCTGGAAAAAAATTTAAATTTATGACATTGTTAATTAAATTTAACTTAACTACTTATATTGGTCTTGATTGATAATTAAATTTAACATAACTATTTATACTGGTCTTGATGATTTAGTTATTTTTTTCTTATATAAAGGATTGGTGGGAGGGGGAGTATTTAACAAGATGATTTAGATAACTAACTAAAATTATTTTCATGACTTCAAGTACAAGACATTAGTATAAGAACAACATTAACTTTATCTTCATGACTGAATTAAATTTTCAAACAAATCCTAAATCTGATATACTTTTACCTCTGGCAAACAAATGCAAAAATGGTTTGAGTAAACAGCAAGTTACCTCTATTTCAGAACCAATCAGTTGAATAAGACGATCAAATATGCTTGTCTTTTCTGCTTCAAAAGATTTCCAATGTAGCAGACAATTGTAAAGGGTAAATGCTGCCACAGGTTTTCCTTCACAAAACCCAAGATCTTTTGTCACACATTTGAAAAGAGCCTCAATACTCTCCTACGCACAAGGAAAGAAAACAAAAGAATAATATGACTAAATGCTACAGAAGTATATAATATAAATTAAATATATTATAAAGCAACAATTGTTCTGCAGGAGCATACTTGATGCCTCTCCATAATAGATTTCCTTTTATCTTCTACACCAAATGTTTTTGCAGGAACAGAACCCTGTGCTGCCTATAGAAAATAGACTTTTCTTCAAAACCATGATAAAAGGACAGGTGGAAAACTTTTGTTTCTTGATAAATACAAAGATGAAATATAAATTACAAGTAAATTGGATTCAAATCTAAAAGCCCTTTATTACCTGCGTACCATTTTCCGCGGGCTGTAGTAGCAAGAACAGAAAAAGACATTAATACAATTTCCAGTAAGGGTAAAAAAGGATGATAGTCAGAGACTGTTGAGACAAAGGAATTATTATTTCACATTACTCTTTCATTAACTTGGATTAATTGAAAATTTCCAAATTGTCCTCAATTATATGTGAACAGAAAACTAAGAATACAATTAGGATTTAGATCCATCTTTAAATAAAAAAAATCATTTAATTGAGGATAATTTTAAAAATATCAATTCAATGTAATTGATGGGGAATGTGAATAGACAATTAAGTGTATCAACAGCCTCACTTAATAAGCAATGGTTTTGTATTTACCACAGTTGTAGTAGGCGAAAACTTCCCTGACATTTTCCTGGATGATGAACTCAACAAGGTTTGCTGCCGCAAAACTTGATTCTCAGTTTCCATATCTGATAGTTTTTCTTCAAGCCTAAGCACATAACAAAGCAACAAATCAAACCCAGGAAAACATCAAATATTCCTTCTAATGCAAATATGCAGAAACATAGCACAACATAAGAACCTCTGCATATTTGTCTTTATCTCAATCATCTTTGATTCTGTCTCTATAATTTGATTCATGCGCTCCTCACTAAGCTTGCTACATTCATCATATTTCCTCTCTGTTTCATCAATTCTTTTCTCCAATGAATTAACCTGCTCCTGCGAAGCTTCAGAAGTTATTTTTGGACTTATGACAACCTAAAACATAAATTTCAAACACTTATTCTGTAACTTATACCTTAAGTTGTTCATTTTCTGCAGTAAGTTTATTGATGAGCTCATTCTCAGTAAAATTAGCCGGGATCTCCAGTGCAGTTTTCTTTTCCAATGAACTAATCCGTTCCTGTCAAAGCATAAAAAAATAACAATAAAAATAATTCAATAACAATAATAACAAAACAGTAACATAAATTTCAAATAATTATATAATTGTTACCTTGAGATGTTCATTTTCTGAAGTAAGTTTATTGATCAACTCATTGTCAGTAACATTAACAGGGATTTCCTGTGCAGTTTTCTTTCGCAATGAATTAATCAGTTTCTCTTAAAGCATAAAAAATAACAATAACGATAATGTACACTTCAAATACTTGTGTTGTGTGTAATTTATACCTTAAGATGTTCATTTTCTGAAGTAAGTTTATTGATCAACTCATTGTCAGTAACATTAACAGGGATTTCCTGTGCAGTTTTCTTTCGCAATGAATTAATCAGTTTCTCTTAAAGCATAAAAAATACCAGTAACTTTCGATTACTGACACACCCAGAAGCATAAATTTATCAAACACTTTTTATATAATACTTACCTTGAGTTGTTCATTTTCTGCAGTAAGCTTATTGATCAATTCATTGTCAACAACATTAACAGAATTCTCCTGTATAGTTGGTGTTTCCTCAGCTACTTTCTTGGCAGTGTCTCGTTCCTGAATGAGTGCTGCTTTAGTTTCTTGTAACTGAAGCTCCATCTCTTGCAAAGCATTCTGGAGTTGTTCATTTTCTGCAGTAAGCTTATTGATCAATTCATTGTCAACAACATTAACAGAATTCTCCTGTATAGTTGGTGTTTCCTCAGCTACTTTCTTGGCAGTGTCTCGTTCCTGAATGAGTGCTGCTTTAGTTTCTTGTAACTGAAGCTCCATCTCTTGCAAAGCATGCTGTAGTTTTTCATTTTCCTGTGTCTTGGCTTCCTTGGTTTCTTGTAACTGGAGCTCCATCTCTTGCAAAGCATGCTGTAGTTTTTCATTTTCCTGTGTCTTGGCTGCGTTGGTTTCTTGGAACTGAAGCTCCTTATCTTGCAAAGCATGCTGTAGTTTTTCATTTTCCTGTGTCTTGGCTTCCTCAATATCACAATAAATCAAAACATTTAGAATGTTGGTTAAATAATACAATTAAAACAATACTTTTATAGGGGAAAAAACCAAATTAGCAATAGTAGGTTCAAAGAAACTTTCTCATACTTCTACATTTTCATTTACTGTAAATAAATAAATTACCCTCATTCTCTGCTCTGTTTCTAGACTCAAAGTTAATTCTTCAACTTGCTTTTCCAAATTAAGTTTGGCAGCTTCAAGTGCCTTGGCTTCCCTGGCAGCCTGCAGAAAGTTAAAATTTAGATATTTTTTCAACTATTAAAACAAATAACAAACATGCATGTAGAAAACAGTTGTAGCATATCTGGTTGAAAGGATAAAAATCACATTTAAAGTAGATATAGCACCACAGTTTCACATTTTGGGAGGAGAAAATAACACTTTTTCAACAATAAAATCATTTCCAACAGATATATTTTTAACATTAGTTGGAATTACTTCTAACTGGTTTACTGCTTAGAGAAGAAAGTAAAAGAGAGAGACAGAGTGATGAGGAATTTGAAAGTTGAATTATTGTCAGAGTGGTATACTATACACGTTGCTGTTAGGTTATAGCTGTCACAGTTATAACAGACATCTGTGAATTTAGTCTACCAAGCCTAAGTAAAGTTGTGGGCTTAGGCCCAAGTACAATTCAAGCCTTATCTCTAATAGCATGAGATAACATAATACAAAAAGAACCACACAACTGAATTCTTACAAAATTATTTAATCTAAAAGCAAAGCAGTATAGTAGTAGTATTATGAAGAAATTTACTATAACAAAACTTATCAAATCCTTAAAAGAAAAATCAAATTTTTTAAGAATGTCAGTTACTTCTAAAATGAAAAACAAAGCAGTTTTATAATTTTTGAAGAACTTGGAAAAGTATACTAGAGGGAAGAGGGAACACCATTTTAAGCTTTCTAAGTTCTCTACGTGCCAATGTTCTCCTCCAGGAACACTGTGTAGCAATTGTAGCTTTCTTTAGCTTCTTATAGTAAGTACGAGCTGAATAACCTCTGTAGCGACCCTATGATAAGAAAAAAAATATCATTAGTTTAATCATGTTTTATGTATAATGCACCAAATATCATAGAATAAGAATATATGACTATTACAGAGACAAACAATTTCCCAACATTTCCAATTCTTTAGCCTAAGGCTTGTTCTGTCACTAATAAAACATTAAAAACATATTACATTGAAAAGAAGGCTAAATAGAAGACTCAAATTTCAGTTGAGACACCTAGTTAACAAAGAAAGTGAATTTCAAAATAAAGTAAGCAATATATAACCCGGGGAGTCCAGTAAACAAAGTTCCTCCCATTATGGTGTTAAGGAGGGTAAAAGGTATGTAGTCTAAATCCCCGTGATTGAAAAGAAAACAAAGGTAATAATAAGGCAAATATATAAATAGGGAAACCCTGAGCAGAAAAGCTTCAGATAATAGTCCTCTTTAATTAAGAAGATGTTGCTCTATCCTACCTGAATAACAATTGAAGCTTGCGTCCTTTTCCTGAATCTAAGGTCATTTCTAGCAGCCATCCCTCGCATGCCAGTTTGAATACAAATAGCTGTTGCACAGATAGTTTTGTAAGCATTTCTTGAAATATACATGCGGAAGTCTTTTTGGATTTTCAAAGAAGCAGCTTCCCTCCTCATGCATTCATACTGATGTCGTGCAAGTTGTCCTACGTTAAATTCATAACATCAAAATTCAATCTTTTATTGATTACATAGTATGATAGTAAACAACTATAAACAGCCCTAAAGAATTCACATAATTGTCACCTCTAGCAACCCTTTCAAGTTCTGTGGCAGAATACTTCAATAAAATGAAGTGTTTCCGACAAAGAAACGTGCGGACTTTTCTCTGAATAACACTTGCAGATCTTCCCAAGACCTCAGCACGACATGCATCAAGTTCTGCCATTTGACCTGCTCTCAGAAACACTTTTGTTTTTCCAATCTGCAATGGGAATAGTTCAGCAAGAGTATTTTCTTTCTTTTATGCTATGATCTTTTATCCAGCAATCACACAAACACATGGATGTAAATGTAATAGCAGTTAGCTTTGTTAGCTGGATCATTTCTTGCTTTCTCTGTGGTGTTACTTAAATCAATGGAACAGGAAAAATATAAATCTCCGATTAACATTTTATTCCAATCGTCTTTTAATATAACGTGTTAGAAACAAGATAGCAATATCTAAGATTCATGTAACCAGCGAGCAATGTAAATTTTACAACTGAGATGAATAGAAATTCCAGTTGCATAAATTGGCACCTGATAATCTTTAAGGTTTGCTCTATCTAGAAGCCTCTTGCAAGCAGTCATCTCATCAGGGCTGTGAATATATGGTTATTATTATTCGATTTCAGATACTCCCCAATCAGATTCATGTAGATGAATGGAAAAGGCAAAACAAAAAATGGAAAGAGATGAAAATAGTCAAAATACCATGCTTTCAGAACCTTAGGTTCCAGGATAGTAAACCGCTGAACAAATTCATCAAAACTCTTTCTAGTGGGATATCCAGCACAACTTATCCGAATTGCCTCCATTACTCCCTGTGAATGGCATCCACAAAGTCTCAAGTCACTTGGCCAAAATACTCATGTCATACCAGAACACAGCCAAAATGGCATTGAACTTACTCCACATCGAAGCTGCTGCAACACATTATTGTTCTCGAATATCCCTGGCTTCAGAAGATTATTTGGCTTTACACACCGAATGTAGTGTGGCTCGGTAGCATTTAGTGTTTCAAGCAAAGATTGCAGTTGTAGCTTTATATTACATGCATCAAAGAATAAAACAGATAAAAACAAGGCACATATTTTGCATTTTATATCCTTGGCAAAACAAAACAGACCTTAAATTGGGTGGCTATAGAAGAGAACTTCGTTGATTTTGTAGTTTCCTCTGGTAAAGGTGGGAACAGCCCTGAAACAAAGGGACACTTCGAAGCACTGAGCAGAGCAGCATGCTCTGGAACAACGTAGTCTTTATTTTTATCTAGGAAAAAATCAGTTTGATAAGTTACCTGAAATTAAAGTTCATCACATATTAAGCCTTTTTCCCTCATCGTTAATGGTGAATATTTATGCAGAAAAAAATGTACTTCACTTACGTCTCCGGCATAGTGGTTAATGGTGAAGTCAGTGCGAGACAATTTTGGCTTGCTGAAGCGTTTGTTGTCTTTAAATGTTTGATATAGCTTTTCAGCAAATGTTTCATGCGTTGATCTTGGAAACATGCTACAAAGAATAAGCAGGACAATCTTACAATCTCAAAGGCTATGCATATGCACACGTCACTACATAATGCATATATATAGATGTATATTTAAAGCAAAATGACCAAGATTAGCCATGCTACATATTTAAAAGGACGACCATAATACAAGTATTTGAACCATTCAGTCATTACATACATACCAGGCCTCATCCAGGAGAGCAATAACGCCACCGGGTTTCTGAAGTAATAAGCGTACATCAATTAGAAAGATAAAACACAAACTAGCAAGTATAGCTCAGTAGAGGTCAAATACATATACAGTTATATGTACACTCTAGCAATCTACTTCCTTTTAAAATAGCTTGTAAGATAAAATAAATTTACTGAACCAGTGTCATCATTTTGACAAAAAATCTAGGTATTTGTAAAAATAATAGAATAATCACTATTCATAACCGATTAACTTACTCCAAGTTTTTATTTCGATGGGAGGTTTTAAGAGAAAACAAGCATCATGAAAATGTTATACCTTCTCTATGAGATCAAGAACATCTTGATTATCAACGAACTCGATATAACTCCAATCAATCTCTTCCTTTGTATATTCCTCTTGCTCCATTTTGAAGACATGCTGCATAATAAAATGTTAACTGAGTCAACAGAAATTGTTTACAAGATAATGAATTCCAAGAAGACAGAAAATAAAAGAATCAAACCTGGTTGAAATGTTGCTGTAATTTCTCATTTGTCAAATTGATACAAAATTGCTCAAAGCTGTGCAGGACCATTTAAACATTACAGAGAACAGTTCAAAATATTAGTAACATAGGCACAGAAAAAGGTCAATCCAAGAAATTACACTATAGTCATTAATTACAAAGCATTTTTGGCTAAAAAGTTTTTGTTGCACCATTTATCCTGGGTATCCATCAAGCAAAGCAAAAACTATGGACAATATTAACTAATGCATAAAATAAAAATTTTACATCTTTATCAACTTTTATTTCATAATTCAGACACAAAGCATATAAGTTCCTTGATTAATAATCCCACTTCATATAAACAGCAGGAAAGCAAAGGGTACTGGCTAAGCACCTGTTTGTCTTGAAACTCTCAAATCCATATATATCTAGAACCCCGATCAAGTTATTTGAATCTGGATCTTGCCCAATAGAGTTGTTAATCTTGTCCACAATCCTGGATCAACAGATGTTCGCATCAATTGAATAACAGAAACTCATACATACTAAAATAAGCTTTCATAAGGATATATAAAATTATTTATATTTTCATAAACACCACAGAAATTACCAGTCAAAAAGCCTTGAATAAACTATTTTAGCCAATGCATCTCTACTGAGAGCTGCAGAAGTTGGATCAAGCGATTTTGTTATGGTGTCACCACGAGTCACCATAACACGTTTGCAGAAAGAGGCTTCAAGGGACTTCTCATCACACCTACCATAAACAAATAAATAAGTAACCATATACATACTAGATTTGAAGATTAAACTTCCAGAGAAACAACATCACTTACATCAAAAGCTCAGCTGCGACTTTTAGGTGGTAATGGGAATTTTCATCCTTGGGCTGAGAGGAATCCAGTTCCTCTTCCCCACCTTTAACAAATTCAATGTTTCCTAAATGAAGCACTGCTGCTACTATTCGAAATATAGCATCCTGAGAAGAGGGATGGCAAAATTTTCTAATGAAAACAATAAAAAGAGAAAGAAAACACTCTCCAACAGGGATGTTACTGAGGGGCACCTGCTCATCAGAGCTGATCCCAACAACCTCCATAGCTCTCTTAGTAGCAATGTACTCTTTAGAATCATCCACCCCATCCAGCTCAATACAATTTGATTGATTAAGGTAATGAAATTTTCTTGGATTTCCCAATTTGTACTTACCAACATCCTAGACATGGAAAAAGCTCAAATAAAAATAAATTCACATCGAAGGCTCATTATCTCAGGATAAGTTCATGAAGATCAACCAACAAGCTAAATTCAAACCCCAACTTAGAAGCTAATATGCATGTAAGAATGTTCATGAACTTTTGTAATTAAACCACGATTCTTGAAAGAGGAAAAAACCGTTACTTTCTTGGATTATTTTTAGGCCTAAATATATTATCTGAAAAGGAAGAATGATTTACCTCTTTTGGTGCAGCACAAAGCATATAAAAGCAATGGTAATTTCTCTCGGGATCAGAAACTTGACAGACACGGGAACGTTCCAGCAAATATGTTCTGATAGCAGCTCCTGAAATTCTCCCCTTTTGATCAAACTGAATCTCCACAAACTTACCAAAACGACTGAAATTATACTATGTAAGCTTAGGACAGACTTTAAACCAATTAATATAAACAAAAGGTGCAGTGGAAATTTCAAAGATTTGGAAAAAATGACCTTACTGAACAACAAATTTAATACCTCGAATTGTTGTTCCTAACAGTCTTTGCATTGCCAAAAGCTTCTAAAACAGGATTGGACTGCACAAGTGTGAATAATAAGCACAATGAGTGGTAACATCCAAAATTAAGTTTCTCAAGCATGTATGATTGTTTGTTTCTACTAGTTTTTTATTTTTAAAAAAATTGTTCTTAAACTAATATCTTCTTTTCTTATATTTTTGAAACCAAGACATCTATAAAGTGTGAGCTTGGTTTCCTTTTGACTCATTCAGAATTTCATTGCAAAATCAGCTAATGTAATTTTAGGTAAGTGCTGACTTTGTTTGATTTTATATTGAGGAATTGATACCGGGTCCAGAATTGATTTTGAGCTGAAACAACTTTAGGTAGCTTTTGCATTGAATCAAAAAATTATATGAAATTTTACTACTAACTTGCATTTAAAATAAAAACATCCAAACATAAATTACAGCACTTCAAAATTAATTTTGACAACGCTGGCTCCAAGACACACAGGTGGTTTTGGGTTTCTAACTTCAGTTTTATATTATTCATGTTTTTCATTGCATATTCACTGTTTCTTTCCTCATTTTTATCTCTAAAAACCCATTTTTGAAAATTGTTTAACAAAATGGATTTTAAAAACTAAAGAACTAAAACTCAATCAAACAGACCCCGAATTCTTACCTCCAGAACTTGTTGCTCCACAGACCGTCCTTCAGTTGCTGCTCTCCCTCCCAAAAAGGCAAGATAATGCATAAGCATCTTTGTACTTTCTGTTTTACCAGCTCCACTTTCTCCACTAACCAAAATAGATTGACTTTTTTCTTCGTTTATCATCTTGCTGCAGATACTTATCTTTGTTAGTGAATGTAGACATATCTTTTTTCATAATTTTATCTCATTTGCTATTAATTTTTTATACCAGCCAAAGTTGTATGTGATGAATGCAAATCAGATATATAAGAGGAAAAAAATCACTCTTCCTGTGACTTAGATTAATTATTCCATAAGAAATGCTAGCAACACACACTCTAATATACCTTTTTAGGCACTCTTTATTATTAGCTGAATTATTTTGAAATTACATAAATTTGTGTTTTACTACTTCTTTAATGAAAATTACTCATGATTTTGTAATTTTTAATAAATTTTAACACTAGAAAGGGATTGTTAAAGAGTGTGTTGCTATCTGTTATTATAAATTTATAATGTATACAAAATTTTCTCTGTAAATGCAAGGAGGACACAGTTTGACTTTGACACTTTCTATCCAACATCATACCATGTAATGCTTCAGTTGTTAAAATTGATATTTCAGATTTATTTCTTTCCTTGTGAAAAATATTAAAATTATCTGGACCTATTACCGTCTTAAATCATAGAATAGTTTAAAGCCATGGCCAAGGCACAAAAAACTGAGAGCAGCAACAGGATACCTATATGCAGAACTTGCAATTGCAAAAGGATGTGGGCTCTGCTCACCAAAAGCCGCACCTTTATACCTTGCCATGGTACTAGTTTCAGACAAATGAGGTAACCTTTGAAAAGGGTTCACAGCTATCAATATATTTCCTGTGTATGTCTGCAAACACCATCAGCAAGTTAAAGCTTCATTGCAATGACTATGAAATTAGAACAAGGACAAAACTTAAGTATAGTACCATGTATACTGTTGGTGTTGTTTGTCAATTAGAATTTGAGTTTTACCTCGATAATTGGTATTTACGTTTAATGGAGTTCTTTATTACCGATGTTACCGAAGTGAAACTCCAATTCTGATTGAAAAACAATGCCTATGTTACTATAATTAAGTTTTGTCCCAAAAACAAAGCCCATTCCCAAACACTTCACAAGATAGAATAGAGAGGTAGGTCAATGCACAAGCCATATCTGATGTGATATCTTACATAAATTTCATTTATGGCATATCGAACATGCAAATTCCGAAGAACTCCTGGTTCATGCAGATATGCCAGTCTTGTCATATCTTCCACACCATTAGGTGGGAATTCTGGATCTTTGGGATACATGGTAGCTGATTTGCTCACAACCTGCAATAGAGATACCTACAGTGTTGAGTACTTCTAACACCGTCATAATCTCATTGTGTAAGTGAAGTATTTTAACTCTAAAGTAAAAATAGACAAGTGTTCTAAGAAATTTCTTGACAAGATTTGAGTTGAACTATACAATTCCTTGCTAACAAAGTATCCATGATGAGAATATTAGATGCATTGAGATGGAAAAACTCCATTCCTTCGATCCATATAATGCACCACAGACCCGAATTCCCTCAAAATGTACATATCATTGTAGAAATGTACTATATGAAGGATTAAACATAATACTATACAAATATCAATAGAAAAAGTAAAGAAATGAATATATATCAAAAGAAGAAAATATTGTGCCATTTGTACTGTATATGCATGTCTGCTACACACACATGTATATATGGATTTACAATAGATTCAGGAGACTCACCCTCGAGCCTGATTCATAGATAACCGTGATCTCATCCTGTTTAGATTCCTGGATTTCTGCATCTATCCAAGCTACTTCTGGATCCTCAATCCAAACGTGGGATCCCACTACAAAACTGAGTTGACCAGCCTGTGCATTCAAAAAAAATAATCAGTGCTTCTATCATCAGAGTAGAACCTCGTTTGAAGTTAAATTGACATCATAAGAATCAGTTGCGGACATGCAAGACTTTGCTCCCACATTATAAGTAAATTAAAGGACAATCATATAGATAATACCATTGCTGCAATTACAGTACATGATAATAATGCCACTTAGCTAAGCCCATTTAACATTGTCATCTATATCACAAATCCCTTTTGCAAATATAGTTTCAGCTTAAAATGGTCACGCACAAGCTTAATGATATTTGAGAAGGTGCATTGGTTTTAAACCAATGTGCTTTTAGCACTCCTTTCTAAATATTATTTTTTTTTTAAAAAAAAATATACAGTGATCAATCCATGTTGAGAAATGATATCAGCAACTTCACACAAACTAGAATGTGATACAATCTGGCTTGAATAAAAAATTGGATACAATTTTAAGTGCTTTTGGCATTATTTTCTTATTAGAATTTGAATTTCACTTCAATAACAACTTTATCATGTAAATTATCGAAACTTAATTTTGATTGAAAAATAGTACTAGAACTACCTAAGAAACTACATCTAAATTTTTTCCTCTAGGCATTTTAAGAATTGTGCAAAATCACAATAAAGCACTTGCCACCAAAGAATTTCAACCACCTCAATATTCCAGGACTAAAGCAATTAGGTAAAGGCTTCTAAAGGTTGCTGACACTAAAGAGAATACAAAAGTGAATAGGAACTGTTTATTTGAACCATATAAATAAAAAGCATAAAAGGAAAAGTAACACAAGGTGAAATTGGAAAGTATAAATAATTACCATTGTTAATAAAATGTTATGCACCCAAATGAAACCGAGGATCAGCTACTCAAAACTGGGATTGCATCACCAGAATCTACCAACCAATGTGGAACAAATAACTAAAAAAAATTCAATCTCCAAGGGTGCAATGAGTAAATTATCTTGCTTAGGTATCTATCTCTAACTGAAAGAAACTTGCTATGTATATATATAATGTTATGTTGGTCTTTCTTGTTATCAAGATTGGAAGTTGCAAAAACAATGGGAGTGGCCCCGGGAAAGTGTCGTTGCAGAAGAGGCTTCACAATCACGTGGCTTTTTCACAAGAAGAAGATCCAACCTATGCTAACCCCTCCTCTGCAACTATCTCCCCTCTATTTTCTTGCTTTCTGCACCTCACTCCTAATTTCTCTCTATGCTCTCTAACCAATTTCCTCTTGCGTGTGTTCCCCAACAACGTAAACACGTTATAACATGACACATCAAACGTACGTGATCAGAAACTATATCTTATGTTACCGGCACACCATGAAATCCAATTTGACATGGTGTCCTAATTCCTCTCACGAGATGCCATATACACTTCCAACTTAAATAAAATATCTCTGAATCCCTCGTTGTTTCTTCACACCTTGGATTCATTGTTTGCGCATGAATCTCACACACACAACTATGTCATCATGGGATCCCCATTGTCGAATCCAAAAACATCATGTCTTGATGCATGTGATAGTTTTTCACGTGTGATTAATCTCACAAAGTGTCATCACAATTGATCCAAACGAAATGCAGAAAAGTAATTGGTGGGGACAAAATCTATGCCTTTTCTCGAATCAAAGCCTCCATCATCCACCCTCGTCGTTGAAGAACTAGTTTAGTGAGGTAGTTTTTCAACCATTGAATTGAATCTGAATATCTCATAGAAATTTTCTTTTTGCCAGAATTCCACGGCTTAGAAAATGTCACTTACTAGTTGCATTGGTGCAACGTTGGCACGTTAAATTTTTTCCTTAACAGATATCAATCATACCAATGTTTACCCGTATTCAAGGAAAATCGGAGATCTTAACTAGTTTTGCTACGTGCTTAAATCTGCTCTACTTTCTATTTTTATACCAATTTTTACTATTATTATTAATATAAAAATCTTATTCTAAAAAGTGCAAGCTAAGGTTAGGATTATTTTTTGTGTTTTCAAACAGACATAAAAAGGTACGTATATATGCATACATAGTTTCAGCTTTCACATATATGTACTAAGGTTTTACCACTACAACAAAATTTGTTATTAACGACAATTATTTAATGGCAATAATTTAATTGCCGCTATATATAAAAATATTAATGGCTAATATATAATAGCTATTAAAAATGTATTTATATTACACTAAAGTTTACTATTAACGATAATTATTTATTAGAAAAAACTTAAGTCCCACATCAATTAGAGATAAGATAATTAAATAGTATATAAGTGAGTAATAACTATCACCTTACATGTTCATTTTATAGGGTTAACTCCTAATTCACTATTCTAAATTGGTATCAAATCACTCATTATTACCAAATTTAATAGTGTTATAAAACAATTAGAGAGCAACTTTCACCTTATAATTCTCACATTTCTTAAGAGACAAGACAATTAGAAAAATAAATTAAAAAATATATAAATAAAAGACAACTCCCATCTTACAAATGTCACATCAAGTAGAGATAAAAAAAAAGTATATAAGTTATGAATTTAGAAAAGAAAATTATAGGAATAAATTATTTAAAGTAAAAGAGACAATTGAAAAAAAATAACTTTTAATAGCCTTTAAAATGGATACTAGAATTGCCACTAAAAAAAATAAGTTTTTTCGACAATTTAGTAGATCTTTACCAGCATTTTATATAAATGCCGGTAATAGTATTAGCGATACTGGATACACCAGCCTTTATTTAAATGCTGATAAAAAAATAATGGTCATTTATATGACTACTAAATAATAAATTAATTGTCACAAAAAATTAATTTTAGTGTAGTGTACTATGATAATAATTTGAAAATATATAACTTTATTATTATAAAATCATTTCATCAGATCAAAATTGAAGCCATATCTGGAGACTGGAGTCATATGCAATACACTAGTTAGCAATGAACCAACAATTTTAACTACTCCCTCGTGTATTTATTATAGGACTCAAATTTTTGAATTGATTTTGTATCTTTCGGAAGTTTCAATCTATTATATTTCGAGCATTAATTTTTACTTTACAAAAATATTTTTATTAAATGCATTTTTTTAGTTCACTAAATTAGTGAAATTTATTTAATGTACACCTCTTAAAATATTTATAATTTCCTTTTTTCTTGAAATGCAAAATCTTTAAAAACATATGTTAAATGTCTCATTTAAGGGTAGTTTTAGAAAGAAATAAAAATTTAAAATATGTTTATTAATTTTTTTTGTAATATGGGAATAAAGAAAAAAGAACACAAATTACAAAGATTTTAAATCATTTTCTAGAGAAGCTAGAATCCCCACAGGAGGGGATAACCACAACATTTGCACAGGAGAAGAAGATTTGCCTTGGTTGGCCAAGGTATGGGCCACACAATTTGCTTAAGAGTTGCTAAACTTCTTTGATAATATCCTTATGTATGTGAGTCGCACAACCTGTCTCTTGCATTTGCTGAATAGCCCCTACTGCATCCCAACAGTTTGTCTCACAAATGATGGATCGGAGTTCATGATTCCACGCTATCTGTAAACCTTCTTGAATGGCTAGAAGCTTAGCCCGAAGAGCATCACCACCTAGATAATGATTAGAAAATCCAATCACTCAGGTCCCTTCATAATCACAAACAACACCTCCAAGACCCATGCAATGGTCTTTAAAACTGCCATTCACATTAAGCTTCAAGGAGGGGAGAGGGGGAAGTCTCCATATAAGATCATTGTTACTAGCCATAATTAGTTTGAATCGGATATAGTCTGCATAATTCGACCGCATCATCCTACAAACCTGTGAAATAATCCATTTTTGACATCCAGAAATATTGTTGGATCGCCACTTCCAAGATCCCCAACAAATTGCAATTAGGATAGTAGCATTATGGTGATGAAGAAGAGCCTCCAGCCCAGTGTAGACATCATTATGGCTAAACAATAATCTATCAAACCTTCCCATTCTTAGCCAAAGTTCCTTGGAGTGAAGACAATCTCGGAAGTATGTGAAGCGTAGATTCTACCTGAGAAGAGCATCTTGGACAAGAAGCATTTGATGTGAAGTGGCTGCAAACACACTTCTCATTAGTAGGTAGTACATTAGTATAATAATCTGTCAAAGAAAGAAACGAACCTTCTCTAGCACTTGGGCTTGCAATATTTTCCTCCAGACGGGATTAGAATGACTGTCACTGATCTGTTTGAGCCAACGGTATGCTAACTTAGACGAATACAACCCAATAGGATCAAGTTTGCAACAAATCACATTTGCACTCTATGGACATCAGGGAACATTGATCATCTCAATCTGCTAGATGTAACTCTTGGGAAGAAAACCTCCTTAGTAATTGAGTGTTCCATGTATTGTGATCCCAAAAGCCTGCTATGACTAGATTTGAATCAATAATATGAACATAAGGAACTTACTGACATAGATTCCCCGTTCCTAGCCAAGTAGAAAACCAAAAGGACGACGAGCCATCCCCTAATCTTGGTTGAAACCCATTAAGAAAGGCATCCCTAGCTTTGATAATTCTTCTCCATATATAAGAAAAACCTGTAGGGGCTATGGTTGTTAAGATGGAGGCACCCTGCAAATATTTAGCACTAAGGATTTGCACCCAAAGTTTATGAGGGGAGTTAACAAGAAGCCAAACAAGTTTGCTTAAGAGTGCAATATTCATACATCTAGCATCTTTGACCCCTAGGCCACCCATGAGCTTAGGCTTGGTAATGATCTCCCAAGATGCCAAGTTCCAATAATTAGAATTTTGTTGATTAGACCATATCATAGACCTGCATGATTTGTTGATTGAAGCACAAACAAACTGAGGCAACCACATTAATTGCATGTTATACGTGGGCCAGGCCATTAGCATTGAGTTTGTGAGGCACAAATGCCTTGCCTTATTGAGTAACCGTCCCTTCCAAGAGGCTAACCTGGAATTCACCTTGTCCAAAATTGTGCTAAAATCTGATTTAGCTACCCGGTTAGTCATGAGATTGAATCCCAAGTACTTCCCAATGTGTGTAGTGCGTTGAATACCTAGAATATTCATGAGCTTCTCTCTAGTTGCCTGAGTGACGATTGGAGAACAGATAAATTTAGACTTATCTTGATTCACCTTTAAACTTAAATTATCGCAAAATTGTTGTATAGTCTTAAAGAGCACACAAACTTGTTTCGAGGTAGCCTTTCAAAACAACATGACATCATTTGCAAAGAGTAAATGAGACAAAGAAAGCCTTCCTGTTGTGAACGGAACAGGTTCCTAGACACGATTATCCACCAGATGTTGAATTTCAATGGAAAATCTCTCCATGCATAACATAAAGAGGTATGGAGATAAAGGATCTCCTTGGCGTAAACCTCGTTTTGGAAGGAATTCCTCCAGTTTAGAGCCATTCCATAAGATAGATAAGGCAGATCCCGTGACACCCCAAATGATGAGGTTAGAGATCACGGTAGGGAAACCAAAGGCTCTCAATGTATCTTGTAGAAAGTTCCAGCTAACTCTATCATAAGCTTTCTCAAGATCTACCTTCACAGCTAAGAACCCCTTTTTAGCCTTACACTTTTTAATAGTATTTATGGCCTCCTAAGCCAATATAACATTCTCAGTTGTACATCTGTCAGGGATAAAGCTACCTTGGAAAGAGGTAATTAAATCATCCAAAAAGGGTCTAAGACGTGCAACCAGTACCTTCATAGTGACCTTATAAGCCACATTACATAAGCTTGTAGGATGAAATTCCTTTAGTTGAGTGGGGTGATCAACTTTAGGAATGAGTACAACCAAGCTTTGAAGCAAACTTGAATCAGCCTGACTAGATTGGGACACATCACGTACCATTTTCCAAATACCATCTCCAATAATATGCCAATATTCTTTTGAAGAAGAACGGTTGGAATCCATTTGGGCCAGGGGCCTTGAAAGAGCCCATCCCCATGACCGCCGCTCGCACTTCTTCTTTGGAAACAGGAGTAAAAAGTGCCATAATAGTTATCTTAGGTAATTGAGGGAGGTGGACACAGGCACGAGAGCTCGTCACTTGATTATCTGGGGAAAATAGGTTCTTAAAGAATCTATGTGTTTTCTGTTTGAGTACCTTTGGGTCATTGCTCTAGGAGCCGTCAACTAGAAAAAGACCATGGATTTTATTCTTTTTCATTCAAATAATTTTCCGAGTGTTGAAGAACTTGGTGTTTCTATCACCAAATTTAACCCATTTCTCTCTAGATTTTTGGAACCAAAGCAGTTCCTCCTGCTAGAAAACCGCATTAAGCTCTCGTTGAAGTTCAACCTCCAAACGGATAAGACTCTCAGAGCTTCTCTTCTCTAGTTCCTTTTGAACTCCTAACAAACAAGCCTAGATATGACGTTTTCTCTTCAAAATATTTCCAAAGACTTTTTGATTAAATACCAAAGCATTCTCCTTAACATCCTAGAGTCCGTTAGGGACGTGGGGGAAGCCTTTATTCCATTCATGTCAGATGATGTTACCAAAAGCAGCGTGGTTGTCCATGCTGCAAGGAAACGAAACGAACGCTCTCCATGAGTGTCTTTGATCCCACCACAACCAATCAAAATTGGGCAATGATCCGAGTACACCCTGTAAAGATTTTCTACAAAAGCTTCTGGGAACCCAAGCCGCCAGTCTTGATTAATCAAAGATCTATCAAACTTTTTGGCTATAAATTTACCTATTTGGTTTCGATACCAAGTGTAATGAAATCTCTTCGTGGTTAGTTCAAATAAGTCACAATTATGCATCATATCCAACATAAGAGTTACTCTGTTTAGAGAGAAAAGCCCCCCATGAACCTCAAAAGGCTTGAGCACTTCATTGAAGTCCCTAACCAAGAGCAAAGGATGGTGGATCAATTGACAAACCATGTTAAGATGCTCCCACAACTGAACTCTTTTGTGTGTGTGCGGGCTAGCATAAATAGCACTACAACACCAAGACAACGTGCCACGTGATACACTAAAAGAGATAGCTTGAGGAGAGCTTCGAAGTATATTTGTTAGAAATATTGGTGGGCATCAAAACCCAAATACCACCAGAATGTCCAATAGCTTCAATAATGTGGCACACTTCATACCCTAGAGAAGTCCAAAACTTTTCTGTTAAGGATAACAGCAGCAAAGAGTGACACCTCTTTATTCATTAAAATCACTCAAACATTCACTCTTTTGGTCCTGGTCTATGTGGATGATATAATAGTCACTGGCAGTTCCAAATCTGAGGTTGTTTCTTTGGTTACTAAACTCAATTCTATGTTTAAGCTTAAAGACCTTGGACCTCTACACTATTTTCTGGGAATTGAAGTAAGTAACACTACAGATGGAGGACTCGTTCTTTCACAAGCAAAGTATATTAGAGATCTTCTTCATAGAGCCAAGATGACTGACTCCAAATCACAACCAACACCAATGGTTTCAGGCCTTAAACTTCAAGCAAATGGTTCAGCTGCCGTGACAGATCCAACCTTCTATAGATCAATTGTGGGTGGACTTCAATACATCACTATTACAAGACCTGAACTCTCGTTTTCCATCAATAGGGTCTGTCAATTCATGCACAATCCTCAAGAACATCACTGGAAAGCAGTAAAAAGAATACTGAGGTATTTACAAGGAACAGTTCACTATGGCCTACACCTCAAGAAATCTTCTCAGCTGAATTTAACTGCATACTCTGATTCAGATTGGGGATCAGATTTGGATGATAGAAAATCCACCACTGGATTTTGTGTTTATCTAGGGCAGAACCTAGTCTCTTGGTGTTCAAGAAAACAACAAGCTGTCTCCAGAAGTAGCACTGAAGCAGAATATCGTGGAATCGCAGCTGTCACTGCAGAGTTGGTTTGGTTAAAGTCACTACTTAGTGAACTATACATCTCTGTTCCTGTTCCAAAAACATATTGTGATAACCTTGGTGCAGTTCTATTGGCAGCCAATCCTATTTTGCACTCTCGTACCAAACATTTCGAACTTGATTTATATTTTGTCCGAGACAAAGTGATGAAAGGAGAAATTCAAGTCATTCACCTACCAGCAAGGTTTCAAGTTGCTGACATCCTCACAAAGTCTCTCTCCAGTTTCCAGTTTGAAGAATTTCGACACAAACTCATGGTTACCTCCAAGGATAACATGAGTTTGAGGGGGGATGTTAAGGATAACAGAAAAAGAATAAAATCTGTTAGTTAGTTACAGTTTTGATGACTTTATAAATAGATGTTTATCACCTTAGATGTAACTCACTGATACAATAATATTTTCTCTTCCATAAGTTTTCTCCAATCTCTCATTCTTTTAGAAACTTCAACATTTTCTGCTACTGCAAATAAGTAGTGTGTTTCTAAAAGGATAAAGATGTCTGGGTGAAACAACTTAACAAGCTCTCGAAGATGACGTCTCCCTTTCACATTAATAGCTCCACGGATATTCCAGGAGATAATATTCATATCCTTAAATATATTCATAGATCAAATTGTTAGATGAGAAGGTCCATCTCTAGAGTGTCATCTCAATGTCATTAAGAGAGGTATTATCATGAGCCATGCAAGGCTCCTCCATGTGTAGAGACGTGCCATCAGGGTCGTCAACCACTACAAGCAAAACTGTTATTATTTACGGAATATTACTCGCGAAACTTTTTTCATAGATAATATTTAGTTATCTATGGAATATTACTTACGAAATTTTTTCTGTAAATAATTTTTAGTTATCTACTGAATATTTCCTATGAAAAATTCTGTAGATAACATTACCTACGGAAAATTTCATAGGTAATGTTAAATTTGATATGAAAATATTATGACATAATTAGATAAGATTTTAAATTAGTATTTTATTAATGGTTGATAATTAGAAAATAAAACAAGAATAAATACATTTTTTGAATTTTATATCTTAGATTTAAGATGAATAAATATATTAAGTTAATTAATAATTTATTTAAAATGTTAAAATTTAATTTATAAAAATAATATTTTAAAGGAGAAGGTAGCGTTATCTACAGAAAATTCTATAGGTAACATTAAATTTGATATGAAAATATTATGATATAATTAGATAAGATTTTAAATTAATATTTTATCAATGGTAGATAATTAGAAAATAAAACGAGAATAAATACATTTTTGAATTTTATATCTTAGATTTAAGATGAATATATAAATTAAGTTAATTAATAATTTATTTAAAATGTTAAATTTAATTTATAAAAATAATATTTTAAAAGAGAAAGGTTATAATAACACGAGTGTAACTTTTGCTAAGTATTATACCACTCAATAACTTTATATTAAATGTGAATTTTATAAATTCAATCATTAGATTGAAAGTTTTTTTACTCTTAGCTCATATATACAAAATTTTATATTAATTCAAGATATATGATTTGATACTTCATTATTGTAAAACAACATTGACGTAATATATAAATATACTAAAATATGAACACTTTGATTACCTTCAAGTTGTTGTTCAATTTTAACAAAATTTGATATAAACATATAAAGTGATATGAACTTTCAATCTAACGGTTGGAGATTTACAAAATTCACATTTAATATAAAGTTATTGAGCGGTGTAATACTTAGTAAAAGTTACACCGATGTTATTATAGCCCTTATCATTTTAAAATATATAAATTATTATTTAAACTTTTAAATTTATAATAAATAATTTAAATTGTATCATAATATTAATTTTAAATAAAAATAAGTAGATTGTTAATTATACAAGTAAGTATATGTATATATATGAATAAAGATTAATTAAATATAATATAATTATTATTATTGGTAATATAATTATTATATATATTTTTATATTTTTATAGCGGCCTGGACATACCAAAATGAGAGGGACTCAAAAATAGTTTAAGTATGAGATTGTATAGTTGAGGATGACTTAAATGAATTAATTTGCACTACTTATATTGATAACATGCATTTGCTTTTCGATAGCTTATCTCATTAGAACTCCACAGTTAAGCGTGTTTGACTTGGAGTAATATAGGGATAGGTGACCTTCTGGGAAGTTTTCCGGAAAATGTACAGTAAGGACAAAACACGTTGAAAAGTGAAGTGTAATGAAATAACATCCTTGAGAGGGCAAATATGAGGGTTGTTATATTAATAAATTTATTAAAATTAAACAAAAACTTTTCGAAGGTTATCTACGAAAAAAATCTGTAGATAACAACTTTCGTGAGTTATCTACGAAAGATTTTCCATAGGTAACGTTATCTACGAAAAATTTCGTAGATAACGTTACCTACGTTATCAATGACCTTATTACGGCCTACGGATTTTTTTTCCGTAGATAATTTTCAGTTACCTACAGATTTTCATGTTTATCTACGAATTTCTTCCGTAAATAATCATGATTTTTCTTATAGTGAACAAATGTTGCCTCTGCCATGAGTTCCTGAGGTGTCATGATATCATCCCCAAGGTTGATCGGAGATATTTATTCCCTTCTTTATGCACGAGATTCAATGAAGTCTTATAATCAATTTAGGAATTTGGTAGATCACCATTAGAGGTAGTATTTATAGTTGGATCTGGTTCTCGAATGACTATGCCCTTCAAGTGGGTCATGCAGGTAATAGGGCGTCCCCCACTAGCCAAATTTAGAGAAGTCTCTTGTTGTACATATTGTTTTCATTTTTACTTGAATTTCATGAATGTTATATGGTGAAGGTTTTAAATCACTCTACTTGGCAAGCAGACCAAGTTTTGATGTAGTATTTAAGTATCGTCCTTAGGGATTTGAGATTTTAGTAATTCTTACTCGAATGATTTATAAAGAGACAGTGATATGATTGAAAGTGAATTAATGTGAAGTAAAATAGAACAATAATGTAAAATTTATAAAAACAATTATATGAAACAAGGATTGGACTCAGGAGCACTTGCTAACTCTTAAATCTTCTTAAATAAATATGATGTCAATTTCATGACTTCCATGTTCATTTAGTAATTCAACAAGATTCCTCAAAGTTGAATCCTAAAGTGATTAATCTAAAACATGATTCCTCTATGCTTTGAGATTAACACTTTGCATTAAAAACAATGACTTCAACAAAGGTGACTAACCAAATCAAATCATCTATCCCTAGAACAAGAGATAATTAGGTGCAAGATTCAGTTCAGGTTTTCGAAGACGTTTTCCAACAAGATTCAAAAACCAAAAATTATACAACGGGTGATCAAACCGATATAAGCATTAAGGGAAAAATCAAGCATAAGTAATGAGAATGAAATGAATATATATTTAGGAAGAAGAAGAGTTAGTAGTTACATTCGGACCAATCCTCAAAAGTTTAGCAACTCATGGCCATTACAAGATCAAAGGAAAAGAAGAAGAAATTACAAAGGAAAGGATGGAGAAAAGGAGTTGATCCTCGTTCCCAAGTGATCCACCTCAGAATCTCCCTTCAAACCTTGTTCTTCGTTCCTCAAGAGCTTTCTCTCTGTTTTCTCTATTCCACACGTGATGATCCCTCTCTCTTGTGTTTTCCTTTTATACTGCCTTCAAAACAGGGGAGAAAACATGATTTTAATCCCACCGCTGCAGCTGTAAAATCACAGCCATGGCTGCGGAGAGTTCTTCATAGAGAAGTAAGCTCCACCGCTGCAGCTATGAATCCATAGCCATGGATGTGGAGACTCCTTCATGCCTAAGTAACTTCCAATGCTGTAGCTATGGAATCCACAACCATAGCTGTGGATCTCTGGAATTTCTCTTGATCTCCAGTACCTCACCACTCCAACATGTGGACCCCCAGCCATAGCTGCAACTCTTTGGAGCTTTATTTTTGCATTCCCAGTTTCCACGACCATGGCTGCAAAACCACAGCCATGGCTACAAGTCTCTAACTTCCAAAATTCATTCCAGATTCCCACGACCATGGCTACAGAACCACTACCATGGCTAGATAATTCTGACTTCCCCTATTTTTACAAAAAGGAGAGAAATTTTCATTAAAATCTACTACTCTTCTAACCTCCTTGCAATTTTTCTATATTAGAGTCAAATATCATCCAAATATTTGCATTCCTACCTAAAAAAGTGCCAAATCTTCACTCAGAATCATGAATAATAGGCACTCAACATTATAATGTAAAGTTGGCATGCTCTCATTTTCCCCTTATAAATTTCCCAAGGATGTGAATATTATATATAAATATGTAAATTATGTTATAGAAATCCAATCCAATCAAATTATAGTAATTTTTTTTATATTAATTATGATGGTTTTGTTTTGTAGGTTAAGAGAAGAGAAATCAAGACAGAGAAAATAATTGAAGTTCAAAAATATTCATGGAAGAAAATATGTTTATCTCTATCAACTCAACAAGCCTTAAGCTATATCAGAATAGCTTAAGCCATTTCAAAGAAATTTAAGATTACAATCTGCCATAAAAAGGCTTAAGCCATTTCAGAAAGGGTTAAGCCATTTTAATTTCTTCATAGTGAAGTATTTAAAAAAAAGGCTTAAGTTATTTCAGAAAGGCTTAAGCCATTTTAATTTTTTCATGATGAAGTATTTTAAAAAAGGGTTTGAGCCATTCAGAAATAGCTTAAGTCAATTCGTGGTAGTAAATGACCCTTTGTTATAAATCATAACATATAAAAGGGGGTGAAGAAAAATAAGACAGGGGAGCTTTGGAGGAAACGACACACCTCAACCATCTCTCTCTCTCTAGCCTCGAAGACCATCCAAGTTGAAGATTTTGGTGGTGATTCCGACGTTTTGAGAACAGAACGACGACAATTTTTTCTTCTCTTCTTTTGTCGGTTGGCTCTCATGGAAATGAGTAGCTAATCTTTTCTTTTTGGGATTGGATGTAATCTCTTGAACCTTAATGTAACTCTTGATTTTCACATATATGTTATGATCTCTTCTACTTATTAGTGATTCATTTTTGTTCTTAATACCTTTACATTTTGATCACTCGTATTTTGGAACTTTGATTTAGAACTTGACTGGAAAATGTTTTCTAGATCATGATTTAAAATGAATCACCTAATGATTTAAGTTGCTAGGAATAGAGCTAAAATCATTAGTCTTTAAAGGATTTTCTTAATGCAGGTTCTCCTTTATTTAAATATGCAAGGAATTGATATTTAAGGGGGGAAACTTAGAATCTCTTAACTAAGGAATTAGTATTGAGTGATTGTAGTCCTAAATA